ACTTATGCTCACTATTGCTGATAAACATAAGCAAACACAGGGTTGGATGAAGGACAGACGCTCCACATACAGCCCGGCTGCTTCACTTGGCAGTAAGAACAAGGATACAGCACAGCCTCTCCTTGGAGGAATGGGGTGGAGAACCAGGTTCCTTCTTTAGCCCCAATGCTACCTCACACACCCATGGAGCAAATGGGGGAAAGAGCTGCAAGGGAATAATCAGCAAAACTTTCCTTCCCTACCATCCAGTTCATGGAGTTCTGCTCTGCACAGCACTGGTCCAATCCATTCGTTGCAAATGGCATGTATACAACAGGACAGTGCGTACAAAAACAAGCCACCAGCACACGTGGTGTGTCCAGCCGCCAGCCATGTTAGCTTTATTATATTTAAATCTTGCCTTTTTTCCCTTCTTGCAAGGAAGCCAAAGCAGCTTAACTAATCCTCCTTCTCCTCATCTCTGGTTTATTTGCTGGCTTCTTCAGTGGAATTAGCTACCCCAAAGTCAAATCAGATTCAGACTGTCATAAACCAGAAGTTGCATTCCTAACATAAAAATATCACATTTCCATTTCTCTGGTTGCAAATCTTGCTTGCCATGACATGCTATGTAAAACTGCTGTGCGTTGGGCTGCATATAATCACTCGCCATGGGTTGTATCCAGTGCTAGTGCAATATAGAGCAAAGTCAATGAACTGAGTTGTCAGACTGTGATTGGATACAACCAGCTGGATACAGCCTGTCATGCCCCTCCTTGTCCCTGTTGCCCTGGCCCTGGAGGTAGAATCAGAGGAGGAGGAGGAGGCAGCTGTTTTAGGGCCTGCTGTGGAATGTAAGAAGGGTTGGAGTTCACTTCTGCCTGATATCCCAGTGAAATGTCAGCCCAAGGAGTCCAACACTGCTTCCTAGCTGCACAATGTGGCTTTGGTAGAGGTGCCTAAAGTGCAGGAGCCTGAGAGATTTTTTTTGTGGGCAATTAGCAGATATCAGTTGAGAAAGGGGGAAGGTTGGCAAAGTCAGCTAAAGAGAACAAAGGAGCAATACCCATTTAGGCACAGTTCATAATGTTTTCCTGCCAGAATTGGTGGACTCACAAAGACTCTAGGTAACCCAACTCTGTTTGAAAGTTGTTGTGGAGGCCGAAAAGCTTCATGGATACATCTCTACTCCTGGAAGATTCCTTTGCTTGGACTACACCTGTGCCCTAAGATTTTGGCTTAATTAGACACCCATGTTCTTGGGACACTATCAGGAAATATACTCCTGAACCCAGAATTCTTGTAAGTCTAGAATTCCATGTGTTGGGGAGTCTTCCTGGGATAATCCTGCTGGACTGTTCCTTGTTCCCACCTGTAAGATTGTCTTAGAGCTCAAAACAGGACTTTGTGTCTGTCTTCTGCATGAATTCTCAGATTTATTGGGACTGAAAGCTCTGTAAAGATTCTGGACTGTGGAGTCTTGCATTGCTGCCACAACTTCAACACTGCAGTTCTTCTTAACATGGGCCAAATTGTTGGTATTTCAAAGGTCCTGGCACAACTCCACATATTGGTGTAAGTCCTATGGAAAATCTTACATTCCCCCATAGTCTAACAGTCCGGATGCAAAGTTGAGCTACTGTACGTCTAGGTGATCAGGTCCAGGTCTGTGAACACCAATGCCCAACATGCCAAACTTATAAAAGTATATATAAACACACATGCCCTTTTATTTGCCATAATGTTGCACTCGCCCCTGGAGCCTCTCTCACAATACAAAAGAAATCAAACACCCACTCTCAGGTCTTTCACATGTTATGATGCTGAGTGCAAATTGTGTAATTCCTGACCCTGGCAGCCTCTCCAGGTCCTGCCAAGTTTTTGGAGAATGGAGATCCTCAGCCGCCGCCACTCGTAGCTTGTTGGCAGGATTTCTGACATCGCTTCACCATTCCTTGCCAGAAACACTACCAGTGGTTCCTGGCCTTAGTGGCTGTTGCATGTCAGGCCACGCTGATGCTTGGATGGCATTCCACAGTGGAATCCCGGCTTGGATTCTTGCTCTGGCTCTTCTGGAGCTGATGAAGAAAGAATTGAGAAACCTGGAGAAAAGAAGCCATCATGCCAATTGACATAAGCACAAATAGGTCAGCAGTCAAGTAATGGTAAGAAAGCTGTAAGGCAAAGTGAGAATCTGCATGGATCCCTTAAAGCCATAGAGCAAGGAACCCACTGTCCTCTGCCGATGACTGAGGTGGTACTACCTGACATGTACCAGGCACAGTTGTGTACAGTTGATGATGTGAAAAGTGCGTTTGGAGCTAGGCAAACCTTCCAGTCCCTTCGACCCCTTTGGAAGGCACCATTGACTAAGTACCCCCATGTAGACTATGTTCCAGGTGTTGAGGCATCAAAATTTTGGCCAAGCATATTTTTTATCAAAGGGGAGGAGGAGGATCAGGAAGAGGCAATATGGGACCATCACATTAAGCTGGGATGGGATCAACTGAATGCTGAGAAAATTCTTCAGCTGGGAAGTGCCCTATATTAGGCATTTGATGATATCAGGAGGGCTACAGCCAGAGCAGGAGAAGCTAGAGGAGATGACCATAGGATGTCAGAGGAGCATAGCTTCTTATTGGGATGGTGAACTATCTGTCCACATTTTATACATATTTGTCCCGTCAGGTACCTAGGACACAGTGATGAAGTTCACAAATGAGCACAGACCCAAAGGGAGGCATTACAGGAGTAGAGGAATTAAACTTACCGGCAAGGCATCCACACCTAAGTACTACAAACCAGCAGAGCAGTACTGTGGAACAGTACTGATGCAGAACCCACAGCCCACAGTTTCTGCTGGTAGAGCAATGACAGACACCAAGGGAAGGCATTCAGATCCTCCCAGGAGCCCTGAGATTGTTTCCTGAGTCCATTATTTATTTTGGCTCTGTAAGAGGAAAGAAGTCAGGGAAGAGGAGTTCAAAGAAGGAACAAGGAGGACGGGGACACGAGAAGTGAGTACTATAGAGGCAACTAAAGTAGAATAGAGGTTGTAACTGCTTTGTATGAAAATATCTTAATACAATACAATACAATACTTATAAACAGAGTAGGCACCATCAAGATATTTTGGCTTACTACTTCCACCAGCAATAGTCAGCCACCAATGGTGAGAGCTGATTAGAGTTGTAGGCTAAAACATCTGGAGGACTACAGGTTTTGCACCTCTACTGTATATCGAGTTGGGAGCAGCTATATCAAATACACAGTTACTGGGTTTATGGGTACTGACAACCCATACTAAAGCATGGAGTATGGATTGTCATTGAAATGTGGGTTGTTGAAGTGCAGGTTCTCTAAATGCAGCTGCACTAACCAATCATGGTTTCTTAAGCACAAATAACGCATGAAGGCAACCCATTGCTTGTTGTTGGGTTGTAAACTGTGGGTTATTCATATCCAGCCCTTGAGCATGGTTATCATGTTGTCTGAACCTGGTCGATGCCACATGGAACAGGACCTCTGAAGGTTTCAACTAACTAGATCTAGAAGGTATATACAGTAGAATAAACTGTGAAACATTAAAGCTTTGTTATCTCACAGTTGCTTGCTTTGACGTTGTGTCAAAATATGTATTCTCATAAGCATAGCCTCTGGGATTCTTTTGCTTCCAAGAGCAAGTAATTAAACTGCAACCTGCAGCAATCTCCACCCATTAAGAAGAGGGAATAGAAAGGCATTTCACAAAAGGGCTTGAGCCTCAGATCTGCTGCTATGATTCCAATTTCCCATCACTGCCTCATCAAGGGCAGATAGATGTGACAGACTGGGACAGCCACATTCCCATTCCACACCTCACCCTCATCAATCGAAGAGGTAGAAACAGCTCAGAATCTGGGTAGGTGTCTGCTGCAACAGAAGCACCACTCAACATTTTAGCAGTGTGCTTGTCTCATTTTGGGTTTCATTGTTTTTTAGCTTCAGGGCTTCCAGAAATACTTCAAGGATGTTTGTGGGTAGGGGAGCAGGCAGCCTGCCTCTGTTCTTTTTGCAGCTCTGTTTATTGACAGCAAATTCTTAAGGCAGTGCTTGTGTTTTGCTACACTTATGTTTGAGATTGGCTTTGTCAGTGCATCCCACATGAAGTCATTTACCGGGCTGGGTTCTTGTTGCTGTTTCGCTGGCTTGTTGATTTTTTGCATCTTTTTGCCTTAAGTAGGAAATCAGAGGAGTTATGGTGGAGTTAGGGTAGAGCATCAAACATCAGCTGCTGAGAGATGGGTGCTTCCGGATGGGGCTTTTAGGGTGAAAACACCTGCCTCCTTCACAGGGTTTTTCAGAGCTTCTGGTGGCAGTCCAGATGACGAAGTCTTCCACCCTTAACATATTCTCCCAGTTTCTTCCTTCTTTTTCTTGACAGTGGAATATCCATTATGAAAAACAGATGAGACATTTGATTGATTGATTGATTGATTGATTTGCACACTTCCATCCATTCTACCAAAAATGGCATTCAAGGAATAGCTGCATGATGTCTCCTGATCGTTAGCAGTGAGATCTCTTAGTCCAGAAACACCCAATATTATTCAAGAGGAAGGCAAGCAAATGTTATGATAGTACCCACAGTCTACCATCAAGAATACCAGAAAGCAAGCTCCACTGAAATCAGTGAAACTGATGGTCAAAGGATATATTAAATTAATGACATCATGTGCAGCTGACCCCTCTGCTTGTTTTTTACTCTAGAGAAACTCTGTGCGGTCCCAATTTTATTTGTTTGTTTTATTGTTTATTCTGATTGCATATTGTAGATTGCCAGGCACCTTGCATTCCATCATCTACTCAAACAAACAAATAAGCAAACAAACAAACAAAAAACAAAGAACTTCTTCTAATATTCAATGCATTAAAAGACTTTCAGTGCAATCCAGCTACATAAGATCAATGACATTGCACAATTCAAGTTAAGGAGAGAGGGGACAATAAAATGCCTTCAAAGCAGCCATCTTGCCATAACCATGCTTGTTTATTATGGCAAGCAAGCAAACAAACCCTATTACAGAGTAAAAAGAACGCTGAAGCAGAATCACACTACTATGACCAAGTTTTCCCCTCACAGGTTTCATGGACCACCCCGCGCTTCAGGTCCCGCTCTTCATCTTGTTCTTGGGAATCTACGTCACCACGCTGGTGGGGAACGCTGGCATCATCCTGTTAACCTTGGGTGATGCTCAGCTTCACACACCAATGTACTTCTTCCTCAGCAACCTCGCCATCGTAGACATCGGCTATTCCACCGCCGTCGCTCCCAAGCTGTTGGCAACCCTTGTGACAGAGAACGCAACCATCTCCTTCGTGGGGTGCCTGGTGCAGTTTTTCTTCTTTTGCCTCTTTGTGATCACGGAGGGCTGCCTCCTGGCTGCCATGGCCTATGATCGCTACACAGCCATCTGCAAGCCGCTGCTTTATCTCACTGTCATGTCGAATAAGCTGTGTACCATGTTGGTGGTAGCTGCATATGCCTGCGGCTTTGCAAGTTCCACTGTCCATACTGTTTTCA